TATAGCATGCATAGGTGTGATAATCACCTGATCCCAGTCTGTTTTTGTACAGAAGTCCGCTGGTATTCCTGCAGCGTACTGGCAGCTCATTGTTGTAAACTGAGGGATCCCAGTTGTACTTGGAGCAGGAGTCTTTGTCCTGGGGTGGAGTCAGAGGAGTGGGTGGAGTCTGTGGACCTGGGAGAAGCACAGGAGAACATAAAAAAATGCACAGATCAGACATTTCAGATTACCAGACACCTGTAGACACCACACACACAACACACACACACACACACACACACACACACACACACACACAGGGGTGTACCTGATGTGATGGTGGCAGCGGACTTGAGGCCAGCTGCTTCCACGATGCTGCCGTCAGTGTGAACCACAATCAGAGTAGCCTTCTGGGTACTGAGACCTTCACCCAGCTGGAGAGTGGTCCTGCCGCTCTGTGACAGATGTGGAAGGAGTACATACACTCATAATCATGGAGCAGCATAAGAGGTATGAGAATATGTTGATGTTTTAAAAAACTACTCGAGTAGTCAGCAGGGAAGCCCATGTGATTTTGTGAATCAGGTTCTAATAATTAACGCTACAGTGCTAACGTGCACAAATGAATCAGTTCTGTGCTGAGGACATTTAACATTAATTGGTTTTTATTCAACGTCACCTCAATTTTCTGTAAATAATGTCATAAGATACTGTTTATCATCATCAAAATGTAATAAATGGCAAAAATAGAAGGGGAATGGATCTAGTCGAGTGTGTGTTAATCTACCAGCACGTGTTCAGGGAGACTCCCAGATGTGGCGACTGTTGTGGTGAAAACATTGTCCTCTGTCGCATGAACGCCACCCACTGTAACTGCCGTCACATCTGATCAACAACAAGAAATTTCATCGACACATAAACCTCCAGATTAGCAGGAATACAGTATGAATAAAAATATAACTACAAAGGAGGATTACAATAATAATGACCTAAAGCAGGTAACATAGAAAATAATAAACACTGGTATTACGAGAATCAGAAGACTCTTCTATTATGTGCTTATGAGAATGAATGATTTTCATCTATATCAGTCATGGTACTGGATGTCTTGTTTTGTTTTTTAGTCTTTGTTGCTCCGTTTGCTTCTTGTTTTTCTTTTGCTGCTTGAACTTTTTCTTCACAGTAATTTAGCATTTTGTTGTGTTAGTTTTGCTATCTAGTTTCTGTTCATTACTACAGTTTGCTAGTACTCTATTTCTCTTTTTTCATTCACCCCCCTCCCCATGTTCCCTGTGGTCTGGTTTAGCTTCCGTCTCTGTGCCCAGTGTTCCCATGTTCAACTTATTCTGTTTTATTTTGATAGTCTCTTGCGCATTGTGTTCGGCTCTACTTCCTCCTGTGACCCATTGTGTGATTGTCTACACCTGTGTTAGCTTAGCTGTCTCTAATCCCCCCATTACCTTGTGTATATACATAGTTTTAGTCTGACTGTATTCACGTTGTACTGTTTTCCTGCCTGCCTCAATCCCTATATTTTCTTGCCATTTGGATTCCATTCTGAGAACTCTGTTTTGATTTACTCATTCTAGCCCAGTAAATAGCTTGTTTTGTTTTTGAATCCTGCCTCCAGGTCCTCACTTTTCACACTCCACACCATAACATTACTCTCAGGCTTTAAATAATAAAGTTTAAGCAGAAGGAAATGAACGGATGGATGAGGGGAAATATTATACTTGGGACAAATACATGATGAGTCATGTCTGTGGTATATGTTACTGATATGTTACAATTTTCGGATGGAATGTGGCATCGCACACAACGGTGTGTCCGTAATCGGAAGATTGCCGGTTCGAGCCCCGGCTCGGACAGTCTCAGTCATTGTGTCCTTGGCTTCGCGGTTTGCTTACTGTTGGTGGTCAGAGGGCCCGGTGGCGCCAGTGTCCGGCAGCCTCGCCTCTGTCAGTGCGCCCCAGGACAGCTGTGGCTACAATGTAGCTTGCCATCACCAGTGTGTGAATGTGTGTGTGAATGGGTGGATGACTGGATGTGTAAAGCGCTTTGGGGTCCTTAGGGACTAGTAAAGCGCTATACAAATACAGGCCATTTACCATTTACCATAATGAGCTGCCTGACCCATACACCCTCGCCAATTCCACTGGACTAGAGTACTTTAATCTCCCAAATCTCTCATCATGACAGGGAACAAAAGACTGCATCTAAAGAAGAGATTTTGAGTGTCCTTGAATAACTATTCCTGAAGACTACTTAAAGAAGTTAAAAGAAAGCTTCCTTAAAGATATTCATACCAAATATTGACTTTTAAAATCATCAGAATTATAAAGATTTTAGTTTTGCCTTATGTACACAGTATTTCCATGTTTGTTTGTACGTTTCAATAAACTACTGCACCCATTTCCCAAACAAAATATAAAGAAGGGTTGGCTCAAGATTTTGCACAATCCTGTAGCTAACTGGAACTATTAAAGAAGTAGAAGGTAAAAGGACAACTCTTTACTTTTAATCATTGATAACATGGTGAAAAGATCATGTTACATGTTTGCTCATGTACACTTGGCTGAAAATCAAGTATTTTATTGTAGTATCCATCTGAAGCTTTCACATTTTTACTTTTTAACGTTCCATGGGTTTCACCAGATCAGGGTAACACAGTATTTTCATACTAAACACTAAATATGCTTTTACAGTATCTACTGCTGAATTTAAATGGAATTTAAAATGTGAAATGTGATTGAGATACTATGTTTTATTTGTTTGTTTTTTGTCTTTAGCATTTGTATAAATATATGTGTATACATTTTGTATTTTGAGTTTGCATTGCTGCTACATTGGCTGAGTCTCCCTTGTGCAGACTCAGTATATAATGTATATAATTCTAAATAAAGAAACTTTATTAGATCAAGCATGTTTTGATGCTACCACTTAGTTTAGCACTTTGCAATGCAATCTTTCCACAACACAAAGACGTTTAATCTCATTAGCAGGGTTAGTTTCAACAATAACAACATTTGTACGAGGGCAAAAGGATGTACGTGAGATTGAAAATCAGTATTTTCTATACCTGTCTTCCCCACTGCATTTATTATTGGTTTTGCGTTGGCCCCTATCCCATGTTTGTGGTTCCCTCGGTGTTTGCCACCTGGGCCACCCGAGTTTTTTTTTTCAAACACATCTTCAAGCGTCTCTCTTATGAATCATTAACTTTTCTGAATAATAAATAATGTATTCAGCAGATAACAATGTTCTCCCCGTTTAAAGCAGTGCCCGTACATAAACAGTGTTTGGTTAAGAGGCAGCTGGTGCTAACGTTATTATCTCAGTTTGTGTTTTAGCGCCACCCCGCACAGCAGCGGCCTGCTGCTAACTGTAGTCCGTGTTACCTGCAAAGGCAGCCTCGGCCTCGTCTGGGTTCGGTAGGGACTCGGCTCCTAAGCCGATGTTTCCCGGTTCCGCCATCACAGCCATCGTGGTAACTTCGGCCTCCGACTCGGTATCCGAGCCCACTCCCTCCACCGGCGGCTCGCCGATGGGCGGTTCATCCAGCCCGAGCGCTTTCGTTGCCGAGTCCGCTTCGTCCATTCCTCCCTCGAACGACAAGAGCCGAAAGTCACCGAGAAAGGACGTCGGGCAGAGTGGGTTCGACCTCACCCGAGCCCTGTACGGAGCAGACAGAAATCTCCGCAAACGGAACTGTTTACGGGTAATCTTTAAAATGTTCTCAAAAAATTCAGGTAACCACAAAGGACTCGACTCAGCTAATACGGAGAGAGGAGGGCTTCCCGTTCTTTGTATTTTCATCAAGTCTGAAGAAGGAGATAACACCGGAAATTGCCGAAAGAACACGAACCAACCCGAAAGGACACAGCAACACAGCACTACAGGCACCGCATACAAATGTTTATATTAGATGTGTTCATTTTCTTGTTTTGCTCAGAAATTCTTTTAAAAATGTACATTTTTTGTTCTTGATGTAATTGTATTTGGTGTACTGTTGTTCATAGTGTTTACCTGCTGGGTTTCTGTGCTGCTGACTATTTTATGGTAACAAAAAAACTACTTAAAATATTGTGAAGTTCTCTAATGAATGTTTTATTTCTTTTCATTTGATCATCAATTTTTTTTTACACACTATGGTTCTGAAAATATGCGTATTTAATTAAAATAGTATTATTAATCTGTAGCAGTGCCCATAACTACCAGAACTTAAATAAATTATCCTGAACATTTTCTACAATTTAAATGATTTATTAGATCTGTATTAATGATTTCTTTCACCCATGCTCAACTATAAGAAAATAATATAACTTTCAACTCTTCAAGAATTACAAATATCTGTTTCAGTGACTGAAAGTGGAAAAAAAAAGAAACATAGAAAATGATATGAATATTCTTGTAACCCATCAAGAGGATAGGATAGGTCCCAACATTTCTTATAATTATAAAAACAGTCTGGATTGCAAACATACTGAAAGGATGGCTAATAACATATGAACATGTCAAAAGTCTTAAGAGCTATCTTTCAAAATGCAGTGATAAGACCAAGACCAGCCAAAAGCAGATGGTACCACTTTTTGTACTAGTGGGGTGGACTGATTAGTTTTAGTGCCCCAAAATAATGAATATATGCGTGTTTGACCTTCATATGTTTGCCCTAGCAGTAACAAACACAATTAATTTTGGACAAATTAAAAATTGCTATATTTTCCACATATAAAACTTTTTGACCTCTGCCTCGTCAGTCATTTCCTTCCTTGCACTTCATTGTGAGACAGTAGGAAACACTAAACATAGATAGAGAGAAATGTCAACATTGCAGAGCATTACACTGACTAAAATCGCAGATTATTTCCCAGTTGTTGACTTTAGTACAGTCGGACTCTTGATTCAGTTTCCCTCTTGTTGTGACTCATTTATGCAGGTGAATGTGGTAATATAGCATAAATATAGACCACAAATCACAGGACACTGAACACAAGTCTTATGTTAATGTATTATGCATGTAATTTTAATGTGGTGGCTTACTGGTGTTTGGACTAAACACAGCACCACCATTTCTATATTTTCTGTATTTTCTCCCTCCTGCATGACAAATATGTGCCTAATACTTACAGTGTTGTATGTTTGTGATGCATTTTGGCTGTTAGATGTTTTTGTATGTGACAAGAACTGAAACAAGATGGACTCAGAGGAAGATAAACAAGCTCTAGGTGTGAAAACTCAAACTGATTTTTTGGAAATTTTCTCCGGATTGACAGGTTCATCAATCAATTAAACTCGGATATGGTGAATGACATTCCCACCTCCCGAGCGTCCGGGCTCTGTTGTCTTCCAACCAAATCAGGACTTGCTGCTGCAGGATGGGACGTACTCATAGCCAACTCAAAGATCCCAAAGTTCAGGCGTCTCTTTCATGTGACCACGCCCACTACAGTTTCCTCCGGTGGGCTGACTGACACCTCCAACTGGTCAATCCAATTTTGCCTACGTCGTGCTTTCTTTCTTTGGTGCAAAATAAAAAAAGTCTTTATTTAAATCAGTTTTGACATTACAGTCTAAAGTCTCAGCTCCATATCAGAGCCTGGCTGATCTTGTTTTCCCAGTTATTGGTGGATCCTGGACACCAGGTAGTAAAGAACAAGGAAGACCAGGACCATCCCCATGGAGACGTAACACAGGATACGGCGGTTGTCTCGTCCTGATCGGACCATGGTGGAGAAACGTTTCACACTGCCAGTGAGCAGGCCTGTCGCACTCATGAAGTTTGAGTCCTAAAAGAAAGAGGAGATAATTCTTTAATAATTCACAATAAATTGACCTAAGAGAAAAAATAAAACAGCCTATATTTGAGATAGTATTGATTTGTACTTATATAATGTGCACTCTGTTTACCAAATGAATCAATCCACACAGATTCTGACAATCAACACAGTGCTCAGTTTTTATACTGGGACTTTATAAAAATGTTTCCTGAATGTTAGGTCCCAGTGAAACCTGTAGATTGAACAATTCACTAAACAGTTCAGAGGAGCCATCGTGAAAATACAACAGGGTGAAACTCAGTGAATATTTAAAACAATATTCTCATTATAGACAAATGGGAGAAATTAAAATGTCAGTTCTTTTTTACTAAAAGCTTAACTATATTTGTGTTTAAGGCAGGAAACGCTCACCATGCCATCCAGGTACTCATTCTGATCGTCCACTTCTCTGTCGATGTCGTAAGCCAACTACAGAGACAAGAAGATGATCAAGTTAGTTGTAGAAGTCTGACTGTGGCAGACCAGCAAACTGTCAAAAACGTTTGCTTTTATGGAGGCCACTTTCACTTTCACCCGGGTGCTACTTACTCTCTTAATTCCTATGACATATGTTCTTGCTCACCTGAGGTTGAATTTAAACCATTTTGAAACCTGTAAGGACTTATTTTCTATTTTAGATTATTTTTATCATGTCCTAAAATGTGAAATCTCATGCAAAAATGTACTAATAAGCAATCACTTGTAACAAGTGAAGTTTTAAATCATCTCAGGGTTGGACTACAGGCAGAAGAAAGAACATGAGAGCAGATTCTGAAAAGCGAATGGCACAGCAAAGGAAAATGTAGAACAGGAAAGCAAACATCTTCTTGGTTACCCTTTATCCTTTTAGGCTGTTGCTCTGTCACTGAGTACCTAACCAGCTTAGCGCAGATTGGAAGATGTCCAACTAAACAGGACGTTGTAGGGATTTAAAACACAACTCTTTGCTAAAAACAGACACGACTCATTTGTCAAAGTCTGTGAACATGCATAAAATATTTTCTGGATCCCCAAAGAGGTTTGAATCAGGGACAATTTCTACAAGATTTAAACCAATTATGAGTCATTTATTTAAGCATAACAGAAATTTTGAATCAGTCTAAAAAATAACAGTAATCTTTATAGATGTCTTGTCAGTATAGTAGGCAGACTAATTGTCTTGACTCTATGTAAACAAGTTGTTTTCATTAGTGTACATTAAATGCCCAGAGGATTGTTCTGAACCAGGAAGAGCCTGAAGCTTGGTGTGAGAAAATCTTAATATCATGTAACTATGTAGAAGTGCCTGATGGTGTCCCATCTTACACTGGAGGCACTGGTTGTACAATTTTCAAATTTTCACAATGCTGTACATTTATTAATAAAAGACAACCATTACACCAGTGATGCATTTGGTTACACATTTGCTGTGTAATGCATTTGCTGCAACAACTTCTACTGTTATAACGGCACATCACTTTTTCTCAGCTAATATATACACTAACTTACTGTAAGTTACATATCTACTTTTTAATGCACAGGTACAATACACAATCTGCACTTTTCTAATTATTCTAAATATTCTTAACTATTTAAACATCTTTCAGTATCCTGCTCTGTTTGCACACTATCTGTATGCTAATTTTAACAACTGTACTGTGGTAACTATTGTCCATGATGTAAATATTGTGTTTTCTGTTCGGCGTCCTGTTCTTTTTGTATATGTGTGTTTTTTGCTGCTGATACAACCAAATTTCCCCTTGTGGGACAATTAAAAGATTATTCTATTCTATTCTACACCTGAAATTCTTACAAGCAATAAGCCATGTATCAGTACATTAAATAACAAAACTGGTTGTGTTTGGCATAATTAATAATTCTGATTCTGGGAACTGACAGCTTTACTTATAATTAAAACTAAGTACATTTGACAGCAGTAACCTAGTAACTACAGACCAGCTGATTTATTAATCAGACTGGTCGCTGAAGGGGACGGTTGTTGGTTGTTACCCACAGATTTCAGTCTGGACACTTTGTTGGCCAGGTTCTCTGCCAGCCGTTTGTTTTCAGCATCGAGCACATCATCCACAGAGCCATGGCCTGGACAAGCACAAACACCGTGGATTAGATATGACACACAAGATCTGAATGTTCCTTGAATTGTTATGTTTCTGTTGAAAACCGCAGATAGACCTCATAAGATTTTGCCAAGCACATAGTTCTGAACACATAACTTCTTAAAGAATAGGTAATGTTTCTAATTTTCGGTTTAAATCAACAGGAAACAACACGTTTTCATCAATGATTTTGATATCAGCATGATCTGAGTGTGGAGCAGAGTCTCTGCTGAAGGGATGTTCTTTATAAATCCAACTAAGCACGGAATAACGACGTGAAGTAAACTTACAACACTGCCGAGGAGTATTACTTATCCCATATTTGGGAAACTAATAAGATACTACTAATAATAATAATATCACTTTTTATCACCCTTCAGAGAGGCAGATGCTTCTTTAGAGGGCGATAGCAATTGATATGAAACTTACAAGGTAGCCTGCTTGCTTTTTGCTAATATTTAAGTATGTCAGAGCTAGTTAGCTTAGCTCTTGAGATTTGGGTGTTATACGAGCAAATGATACTTAAAAATAACATTTTAAAATGTACCACCCAGCTGTAACATCATCTCTAAGCTGACACAAATAACACACAACTGAATATTTGGAAGTGAATACGTGTCAAAACATTTACCTCTGTTCCACTCCGCCATGTTGCTTGTTGCTGAATGACGTCACGATCAGCTGTTCACGTGGCGGACACGTGACCGCCTTTCTTCTTCGTCGACAACGTTATGGTTTTTTGTTTTTTTTCGACAACGTTAAGGTGTCGTTAGTATTACCGCTTCAATGACGACAGAAGACTCCAAAATAGTTCTCGCCTTCTTTGTGTTTATGCATTACACTAGCTGAGTACTGATGCCTTAACAAAGACTTTAAGCATATACCACACAAAAAGGGGAATAAATGAAGAGTGGAAAAACAAACAACAACAATAACATCAACAAAATACCTTTATTTGTTTATCACTTTTTTAAAGAATACAGTCCTATCATACAGACTCATTAATAGCCATCCGGTCAGACGTCCATTCTAACATACATACTTAACTTACACACAAATAGATGCAAACTAAGGTCGAATAATGGTAAATGGCCTGTATTTGTATAGCGCTTTACTAGTCCCTAAGGACCCCAAAGGCTTTACACTACATCCAGTCATCCACCCATTCACACACTGGTGATGGCAAGCTACATTGTAGCCACAGCTACCCTGGGGCGCACTGACAGAGGCGAGGCTGCCGGACACTGGCGCCACCGGGCCCTCTGACCACCACCAGTAGACAACGGGTGAAGTGTCTTGCCCAAGGACACAACGACCGAGACTGTAGGATGGGGAAATCATTATGAGAACACTAAAATATATATAAAAAATGTTTTCGGCAGTTGTTTAAAACAAATTACGGATTCAGCTGATCAGGTAAAATGTGACCATTATGCTGAAGGTTATTACAAAGTTTGGGCACTATTGCCTCAAAAACGTGATCGTCTCTGATTCTGATTTTAAAGTAAAAGCGTGGGACATTTAGCAGACTTTGATCAGGTGATCTGCAACGATAGGGTCTCAGTAGCTCCGATAATATAAGCAGGGCCCTCCTCATGTGCACAGAGACCTGCCATCTTCAGAAGTTTTCTGATGATCTGCAGAAGTGTCTGTTTTATCCACAAGAGGTCGCTCTTTCTGTCCTGCTCAGGGTAGTTACTTTACTACTTGTGTCTCACAGTACCTGTTTTCAATTAAAAAAAAACAACAAAAAAACAAAACCTGTTTTCAATTTACAAAACGTAGATGTTTGTAATATAAACATGATAAAAACTACATCTAAACAAAGAAAAATATTAATGTATTTTAACAGTTTTATGGTGCAATCCATGCAAAATACCCCAAATTACGTGATTGTAGTTGATCTAAATGTGAAAATTTATAAATATTTAATTTATTGTTCACCATTATGAGCTGTATACTGTCAGTGTAACAAAATAAAAGCACTGATGGTGTCACTTTGGGAAACTGTAGAGATAGCCATTCTTCAACACAGCCACTCTCTTAGGCAAGCTTTCTTGTAATTTCTTTAAGTAGTCTTCAGGAATAGCTCTCCAGTTTGCTTGAAGGACAGGCAAAGCTTTAAAAATTGTATTGAAGTGTTAAATAGCTGTCAAGTCTTTACTGTACGGCCTGTACGCCCCGTTTCTGTTCAAACATGAATGCACACTAGTGCACAAAGCAAGGTCCACAAAGGCATGGATGACAGAATCTGATTTGGGAGCACTTGCCTGGCCTGAACAGAGTCCTGACCTCAAAGATAGAACATCTTTGGGATGTTGCTTCCAGGTCAATCATGCTAGGCTCATCAATTGTTTAGGGCAAGGTTTCCTCTTTCAGTAGCCTCTTATGACTCATGTTAAGACTACTGGATGCACTGTCATATTTATTTTCAGTAATCAATTTTGATACGAATAGAAAAAATGTGACCCTGCCCCAAAGTAAGGTTTTAAAAGGCTTTTCCCACTCAAAGTTATTGCTCTGATTCCACAGTGCCCCCTCTCCCCCCTCCCTTTTTCATACTGGTGAGTGTTTCAAGTCACCTTCCTGGTTGGATGGGCTGTGGGAATTTCTGAAATGTTATTTTTAGATCTGCTAAAATGAAATATAGGCATTCTTGAACGCCACCCAAAAAGCTCTAAACCTCCCAGTGGTCTACATAAATCTTAGTTATAATTGTTTTAGCAATTAGCTTGACTAGCATAACTTTGAAAATATTATTAAAGGAGATTTAATTAAAAAAATGTATTCAAATGACATTTTGCTTTATGTTTGTAGCAACAAAAACACAAGTGACAAAACAATATTTGGGCTTTATCTAAATTAACTTTAGTTTCAACAGTCACCAGGGCATAAAAACTTTGTGATAGAATTTCAGTCAAATTTTATTAAACAGTGTCCCCAAATTGTCATGTTGATTGTTACAATGATTTGTTGCTTCTGGTTTTGATTTTTAGTGTTGTTTTAGTACCTTTAACTTTTTGTGGTATCATTGCATTTTTGTTTTTCACTTTATTGTTCCAGTCTTTTTAGGGTTTCTACTGTCTCTGTATCATGTAGGATTCTTCTTGCCTCATGTTTTGTTCCTGTCTTATAACAGTTGGTTTTTTGGTGTTTATTCTCTGGGTTTTGCCTTCTTTCAGTCTGATTGTTGTTTATTTCAGATCTTTCAGATGTTTACATACCTCATTATGGGCATTAGAGACACAGGCCTTTGTGATTTCTCTGACTGCCTCTTTTTCCAGGATGGATTGATTGTACAGCATACATCTTTAATGACATAGCATACATCGCACATCAGAAACTGACGGTACAATTTTACATTTATTTGGGATTTTCTATAGTCCACACATGGTATACATACAGGCTCAAATGTATAAATATACTCAAATATTTCAAAAGACGGAGTTCTGGAGAATAGTTTTATGGTCAGACAAGACAATGGTGAGCTATCTGACTAAGGTACAAGAGGTCAGAGGAGTAAAGGAGTAAATTATGCTCTGCTCTTTTTTTTCCAAGCTGCCTGTGGTAGTGGTACATTTCACAGTGGATGAAATAATGAAGTGGGAAGACTACCTCCAAATTCTTTAGCTTCACCTCATACTTGTACATTCAGTTCTTCTTTTTTAAAGCCCTCAAAGATATATGCTTCCTTCCCCCCAAAAAATCTTAAAAAAAGAAGAAAAAAAAAAGGAAGTTCAAAGAAATAATTAAAACTCCCAAATTACCAAAATTTGGGGGTTTGCTCATGATGGGTAAACTTCTGGCCTGTACCTTCTGCATAGCCCTGGTTTTGCCTTTGTCAAAGTAGTCTTTGATTTCTTTTCTGTGTGTTGTGTTCTGTTTGTTTTTCCTTTCATGGCTGGTTGTATGCAGAGAATATAGAAACATTTTGATCAACTGTGGTTTTTGTTAAGCAGTGAATCCAGAGCTTTGGTCTTAGTAGTCCATCACTGATCTGTCGAGCCAATCCTTAAACTACTGCTGTGTAGACCTCTTTAGAGTGTGGGGTCAAAGATCATGTTAGATCAAAACAAAAATACTAGAACGTAAATACGAAAGAGTGATATTATCCTGTGTGTGTGTGTGTGTGTATGTGTGTGTGCACACTCAGTTAATCCTTCTATGTCATTGTGTACTGTAATCCGTGTGTGTGCGCGTGTGTCACATGACGTCATCATGCATCATTGCTGCTCAGGGTGATGAAGTGTGTGTAACAAAGTGAAAAGACCACAGTAGAGCAAACAGTTGGACTGTTTCATGGAATTCTCCATGAGAAGTCGTGCTGATGGTTATGTACTGAACTACTTTCCTTTGGGGCTGCAGTTGGTTGTCAGGCTGTAATGTCCGACCACTTGCATTCACCTTCACAGTTTGGTCTGTTTAGATCTAATTGGTTCATCTCAGCAGGAGGAGTCTCAGTGCTATATGTGGACTCAATGCGCACCCTTTCTGGAGTATGAAGCTCAGCAGCAGCAGGTTTAGATGGGGTGTGTGTGTTGACCTGGTGAGTGTACGCCTGCTGTGTGCCTTTCAGTCAGAGGATGCAGCAGGTGTAGACGTAGTTCGTGTGTGGACTTGGCATGTCGCTCTCAGCAGGAGGAGCTGCAGCAGCGGTCTCTCTGGCACTCAGTGAAGCCACAGATTGTCTAATTAGATTAAGCGAGGCTTTCCTCAGATAATCATTCAGCCAGCTCCTGTTTTTTCCTCTGATAAAGAGAGCTGTTTGAAACTGCGAGCTTGCTGAAGGTCACGCTGAAAAAGGACCAGTTTGGGTAGTAAACTGGGGTCTTGGTTCTGTTCTGCAGACTGCCTGCTGAGGAGCTGTCTCCGGGTTATGGGCTGTTTCTGGAGCTGTGAGTGTGTTGCTGCTCACAGTAATCGGACCACCACTAATACCTGCTGCTGCTAACAGGAGGTGATGGGGGAAGTTTCTGTAAGTAAAGCTTTTCTTCTTCTCAGTGCTACAGTAATGGATTGTTGTTGTTTTTTTTATTATTAGAAATGGCTTCAAGTTGTGTTTTTGTCATGAAACCTGGATGTGTTTCTGTTTTTTTGTATTTGTGTGGATGACTTCCCGTGGAATTTATTCATTACTTATGCAGTTTTACTTTGTTTTGCTGTTCTGATGGTTAATTAATTAATAATAGATCATTTGAGATTTCCTCCAATATCCAATTCTAGATCATCTTTTTCAGCTTCTAATGTGAACATTTACAGCTGCACTTAGGTTTATATTTTACAGCATGAAACCATTTGTGGTTCTTAATTGTTGGTTAGAATTCGTAGTAAAGCCATACTAAGGTACAGTGAGCAGCAAAACTTCAATGACTATTTTGACTTCTGTCCATCCTGCTCTTCTCTCAGTAGCTCTTTTCTTCCTCTGCCTCAGCCTTAAACAGATAGGCTGTTTCTCCCTCTCTCAGATTAAGCCCAGGCTGACTGATTGACACAGATTACAGCTAAAGGCACAGAGGTCACAACCTGTGAGGCACAAATATAAAGGGTTTCAGTTCACATAGGAGCAGGGACAAATCTCTACTCCACACACTGTTACATATTCAGTCTGAGCTCCTGTTAACCATTGAGGGGAGAACATTGTGCTTGATTGAAATAAAATTAGCTCTACTGGGTCCTGCTTGGCTGATTTGTGTCTCATGGAGCTGGTTTCTAATGTAAAGGAC